CCCACCGGGAACGCCACAGAGGGTACGGTCTGCTGGAGCTGGATAGCTATAGGGAGGCTTCCACCGAGGTGGGATGATGCTCAGGCTGCTGTAGTTTCCAGATGCTTTTATTGAGGGAAAGCAAAGTCGGAGGTGCAGGGAGACAACCTCTCAGGAAGGGAGCGGGCTCTGAGCGCCCAGCCCTGAGGGCAGGATAAGGTATATAATGGCAACGGGATCGGAGGGTCAGGGTACATATCAGCCAATAATGGACAGGTACAGGGGAGGAGTAGGGATGACCGACAGGGTGAGAACTGATGGGGACAGGGGGGAAGGGGTGGCTAACAATAGGGGACCAATGAAGGCATAAAAACCAAGGAATATTCTAGAACAAAGGGATAGCTCAAACAATGATGGACATGAACAGGGATAAATGGTTGACATCGGGAGAGGCGGGAAAATTATACAGAAGTGGTCTCCCAGGGCATCCCAGGTGGACTATCCCCGGGACCCCCTCCCACAAAAATCTTTGCCTCAATGGCTTTCGATTTGGGTATTTGAATTTGTATTTCCCCATCCTGGAAAGTTATTTGAGCATTCAATTTTCCTAATAAATCTCTCCCCAACAAGGGGATTGAACATTCAGGCTTATACAAGAATTGGTGCGTTCCCCACCATTTTCTTAATTTAAATAGAAATGGTTGTATAAAAGGACTGTTCTCTTTCCCCTGTGTCACACTCACAACACTTACAGGTTCCAAGTTAAATTTTCCTCTGCATGTATTCAGTACTGAATAAGCTGCTTCTGTATCAATTTAAGGATTTACATTTTCATTCCCCAGCAACAATGTAACTAGAGGCTCAGCTGAGGATGATTCCCTCAATCCCCTTCAGGGAAGTTCTTCATCTTTTCTTAAGGTCATGAGCTTGGTGGTTTGAAAAGCCAGGTTTTGGTTTCCTGTCTGATTTCCCCTGACCTTTTCTGATGTTCCTCTTCTTTACAAATTGCCAAAGTGTACTTCAGTCACCAATTATTACAATACAAAATGTCAAAGTATACTTCAGCTACCAACTATTACAATACTCAGCCAATTGTTTCTGAGTGAGGGATCCTGTCTTAGGTATGGTTTATTATCCCATACCATTTTGGGGGGGTTTGTTCTTTTTTTTTCTTGTTTCCGGGGTGGCTGCTGCCCCCTCCCTCCCCCCACCCCCATCCTCCCTGGTTCTGGGAGTATCGAGATGAGTGGGGAGCCAAGCCAGGGGTTCAGGAGAGAGATGAGGGTGGGGTGAGGAGCAGCCACTTCTTTCTGGGCAGGCTGTTCAACTGGCCATGCGGCTGGTATCTCTGACCGGGGATACTGCTGCTTCCATGGGTTTTGCCTGTTTCTTTTTGTTTCCTTTGCTTTGTCACTGTGACAGGGCTTGACGGCTTACTTCTCTGCTGCTCTGCTCTTGGGAAGCCCAGAGCCAGTGCGTGCCGTGCCAGCACCCAAGAACACCCTCGTTTTCTGCTGGAGGCTAGCCCCCTCCGCTCAGCCCGGACCCACAGACCAGCCAGCGCCACTGAGAAATCCTGAGGAGCCTCTCCCTGTCGTGTTCAGGAACCAGGGTTCCGCTGCCTAGCCCCTGCCATTTCTCTGCCACTGCTCCGGGTTTTTTGCTACGCTATAGCCTTTCACCCCCTGCCTGCTGGGGTCGGCTGCCCCTGTGTATTTGTAAAGGAAGCCCCTTTCCCATCCCTTCTGCTGGCACGCCCACCATTGTCCATGAAATGAACGGGGCTTATGCCTTTATTAATATTCATCTCTTTATTAAAAAGATTAGCTGGGCAGGGGGCTCGACATGGAGCTCGCCCCCACCGTTGTTGCTTTTTCCAGGCAGCCGAAGGGGGAGAAGGCATGCAGAGTCTGTTGCTGAAGTTTTCATTGGCACACTGGTAGCTGAAGGGTGAAGAGGTGTGCAGTTTGTTGCTGAAATCCTGATCAGCAAACTGTCCTCTCTCCTTTCCTCCTGGTAACACCAGGAAAATCTTGCTTCTTCGTTTTTGCTTCCCACAGCCCATTCCAGTCTAGTCTTCTGTAGGTGATGGTGACAGGTCAAACGTCGATCAGGGGATGTGTTTTCCTCTTCCTCAGCCAGCGCATCTGTCCAGCCCCCTCTACTGTGTTTAGTTTTCCATTTAGGGGTGTCCTTATCCCCGAAAACATGCTCCCATGGTTCCATGGGTTTTTCTATTTGCATCTGTCTTAGAATGGCAGCGTGGGGGGGGGGGGGTGTTGATCTCCAGGCCGTTTAGAGAAAACAAACAGAGCAATTAGCTAATTAACATTTCAATATCAGTACTTAGATAGTGTCCCACTATTGCCATGGGAACCAGGAAGGCTCTTTTGTTCATTACCATCCACGTGTGAGAGATGGCCAAACTCGAGCCACAGCCCCCCACTGCAGCCGTGGGAGAATCAGCGCACCCCCCTGCCTGGCTGGGGAGCCACCAGCGCCTCTGCCAGCTGTGACCAGAACTACACCAGAGGGGAAGGTGCTTGGTGGCCAAGACAAGGCTGTTAATGGGTTTCTGGTTTTGTTTGTTGTTGCTGCCATTGTTGTTTTTGTTTGCCTTCTTATACATACTAGTAAAGAATGGTAAAGAACTGTTCTTTCTTTTTTCATAACTTTGCCTGAAAGCCCCTTCATTTCAAAATTAAAATAATTTGGAGTGAAGAGGGTCATATTTTCCATTCCAAGGGAGGGTCCTGCCTTCCTTGGCAGGCACCTGTCTTTCAAACCAAGACAGGTGCTCCCACAATTTTCCCCACTGTTTTAAGATGCATCCTAGGGGGAATTTTTCCAGAATGCCCCTTCTTCTCTCGATGATCCATTCCCCATTTAAACCATGTGCTATTCCAAACCAATTAGTATTTAGCAGCTTCTAGAAGGAGCATTCCCTGTTTCCACCTTAGGTACCTTTAAATTTAACCCTGTGAAGCTTTTGCTGCACCTTATGCGCAGGTTAACACCTTTAAAGTAAAGAATGCCTTTTTCTTGCCAGGGATCTTGCTCTGATTTCCTTTGGTCCAGGGATTGCATGTTATCCCCAACAATCTTTCAGTGCCAGCTGGAGGTCCTGCGATCCCTCGGATCAGTTGAAATCCAAGAGTAGGTCATTTGGAGTCCTTAACACCAATGTAGCATTAAGAAGCAGGCATTCTTTATTTGGCTGGATGCACAAGGGAATATTTCCTCTAAAAATTGTGCATGCTGAGTACAGAAAAAGTTCCTGTTTATATACTATATTTTACATACGTATTCATTGATTTTCCTAGAATAAACACACATATGATAACCATTTGCCTAAAATCATTAACATATGTTCCCTCCCCATTATGCATACATTCTTCTCTCCTGGGAGTCTCTTTGGTGATCCCTGGTGATCGGCGACCGCAAAATCATACCTGACCACCTTGTGAGCTGGTAAAAAATGGCACAACTGGGCTGGTTGCTTTCCAGTTTTTCTTCCTACAGAATAAACATTGTGCGGTTCCATAGACCAGTGGGTTTTGAAGAATAAGCATTGTATTAACCCACCAGGTGCAAACAATTTTTCATCTGGAAACCTTAGCTTTCTCAGGAGTTGTTGGTGCTGATTTTGTGATTTTAAAATTCCATTCTCTAAGCACACACATTTAAGTGCCCAGTTCTCCTGCCTTTACAAAGAAAAACATTAGAGAAAATTTTTTTTGAAACATCAAAATCTGTGCCCAACATATGCCTGTGTGTAATGCACACACCTACACTCACACAGTGCATGTTACTGTTTCATCCAGTGGGAGCAGAAAGGGAGAAAAGAATGTAAACATGAAAAAATAGAGAAGGGAATAGGACATATAGTGCAGGTGTTGCTTATCCCTGTAGCAGAAAGAATTCCAGCTTCTGAATTGATAAAACCCTGGAAGTAGACAAATGGACACAATTGGAGGAGATGCTTATTTTTTTTTTAACTCATTCTTCATAGCTGTGTGTGGTGTTTTGTTTGGTGGTTTGTTTTGGGGGTTTGTGGGGTTTTTTCTTTCCCTTCAGTACAGGACTGGTTATTTATCATATCCCTAATCAAGACATGGTGTCTTGGTTTGAAAAGACAGGTGTCTGCTAAGGAAGGCAGGAGCCTTCCTTGAAACTGGAAATGTAAACCTCCCCCCTCCAAATTATTATAATTTTTAAATTAAGGGGCTCTCAGGCAAAGATATGGGAATAGGAATACCAGTTCTTTACTAGAAAAATTAACAATACAAATGCAATAATACAAAAAAAGAAAACCACTGACAGACTCAGAATGTGACCTGACACCCTGTTGGTCAGGGTGTTGGTAGCAGCCTGATTGAATGGTGGCTGCAGTCCTCCTGGAGTGACAGGTGTAGTTCTGTTGAAGCAGTGATCCTGTAGAAGGGTGTAGTTTTCCTCTGAAGATCCAGTGGTGGTGTAAATGGGTCTGGTCTTCCTCTGGAAATCCAATGGAGAAGAAAGCTGCTCCTATGGGAATCCAGTGGGGAAAGGCTCCTTCTGATGTTCCAAATCTCAGATTATATCCTGGTAGGAGTGCTTGGCTCCTCCACCTTGGCTCAGCATCTCACAATGGGATGATATAATTTTATCAGTCATGCAGTGAGACTCAATGGCCCATTAACAGACAATATCTCCCCAGAAGGAGGATTGGTTGTGGAAGAGATAAAGTAAACTTCGCAATTAACAGAAGACAACTGCCCCACCTCTAACAGATAGGAAATAGAATACACACATATCTTACAACCCAGGACACATGACTTAGTAGTATTTTGTCCAAACTTTAAATACTTACATGGGTACAATATCTTAGCGTAATTAAGCTATATTAATTTGAGAGCTCATTCTGCAGCGGGCGGGGGAGAGAATAACTGTAATAGTACAGTTTAAACTTTGCTTGACTCTTCTTGACTCTTGGCTTTTTGCTTTTTTCTTTTTTTTTTTTTTTTTTTTTTTTTGTTTAGGTGAAACATGGAATCCATTGAAGTTGCATTATCAATTGCGTAATGTCCGTGAACGGTTAGCGAAAAATCTAGTGGAAAAAGGTGTACTGACCACAGAAAAACAAAACTTCCTTCTTTTTGACATGACTACACACCCTCTCACCAACAACAATATCAAGCAGCGCCTCATTAAGAAGGTTCAAGAAGCAGTTCTTGACAAATGGGTAAACGACCCTCACCGCATGGAGAAGCGCTTACTAGCACTTGTTTATTTAGCCCATGCCTCAGATGTTCTGGAGAATGCTTTTTCCCCCCTTCTGGATGAGCAGTATGATTTAGCCACAAAGAGAGTGCGGCAGCTTCTAGATTTAGACCCTGAGGTTGAATGCATGAAAGCCAACATGAATGAGGTTCTATGGGCTGTTGTAGCAGCTTTCACAAAATAACTGCATTGAGACCAAAGTGTTCTCTCTTTTTTCATGTAAACCAGTTGTTTCTCTTTTTTTGGCTATTCATGCTTTCTGTAATTTGTACCTTCTCACATGATGAACCAACTCTTGTTTAATAGAAATTATGTGGTGAATTCCCTCCTTCTCTATCTGTATACAGGATTCTGCTGGTACAAGAGACCATCCCATTTAAAAACAACTAAAAAAATTTTACTGGCATATTGGCATTCTAATTCCTATTCAGTTTTGAGTTATCTGAAATACTTTGTTTAGTCTATTTTTCATCTTACTGTTACTGAAGTGGTTTAACATGGAAAATACCTCAAGAAGGAAATGTGCATACAGTTGGATCACTAGTCTCAGCTGACACAGATGTGTGCATGCATCAGTGCTTCTGCTGTACAACTCCTAACAGATTGAAGAAGGGCCTTTTAAAATCACCAAAGCTTCATGTTGAAGTATCTGTCAGGACATTTTATATACAGATGTTTTTTCAATTATATCTAACAAAATTACTTAAAAAGCAAAAATGCCATTAAGCAGCTTTTTCAATAGTTCCTGTGAAATGCCCCATAAATTTTACTTTTCATTAAAGTCTCTTGCATACTTATGTTTACATTAAAATGATATCTGAGTCATAAAGCTGGACTTGAAAGGTCCAGTTTTTACATAAGCCCATTTTGGGATGGGATGCATTCCATTATATTGTATATATAGTTCAAATTGTAAATTAAATACTGCACCATCTTAGTATTTTGCAAGTTTTACACCTGGTGCCCCTGATTTGCCATCAGCAAAACTCTCAATCTATTTTACACTTTAAAACAAATAGTTAGTTCTAGTAGGTGTTGCATTTAAATGGTTAGCAAGTAATGACTGCAGTTCAGATTATTACAATTTCTGTAATGGGATGCTGTGCTATCTGTTATTTTTTTTCATATAAAATTATACTAATTAGCACACTACTGTAAAATTATAAGACTCTGTCTTTATAAAATGAATTGTCTTTTTGCCACTGCTTGTTATCTCCCATTTGTTTCACAGTGCAAATATGCATTGAAAAAAATATGCATCAATCTATGTATTTTTTTCCTCATAACAATGAGGATTTATGGTGGGGCTTACAGGTGTCTAGAAACTTTTTTTGTTTAATATTCAGAGTAAGAATACTAGATGGTGTATAACTTGAGAGTTGAAATTTAGGAGATCCCTTAGTCTGTATACTAGCTTTTTACCTACAGCAAATAAACTATGATCTTAAAAGTGCCTAAAACAGAGCAAGCATGTAATTTTTTTGTTGTTGCGAATTAGAAAGGTTTTATTGCTTAACTGAAAGCTTTCATTAATATTCCTCTTAGAAAGAGAGAGTTTATATTAAGTAGATCAAACTGACCCAAGCAGCAGTGTCACTCAGATCTGCAGGATTCATGGCTGGGTCAGACTGAGTTAACTTGTGAGTGTTCAGTTGTGTCTGCCATAGGTAGGCCTCTTCTATCTTGAACATTACTCTACAGCCTCATCTGTGACTGGACTTCCAATTTTGCATTTAATTTTAAATAATTTAAATGCTTAGGTAGTTGACTTGAAAATGTAACTTAAGTTCATCATAGCTATAGAACCTCTTTAAAATAAAAATTTTAAAAATATAGTCCTTAACTTTTAGTGGCACATTGTTCTTTCAGTTCTTGAATTGTGTTTCTTTATAAAAATTAAAGTATAATGTAAGGTATTTCAAACTTTGGTTTACAAATAAAAAGATAAACAGTGTTCTCCTAACTGTAAGATGCTATGTTTAAAACTTTGAGGAGCATGGGCATGAACTTTGGACATTTTCTTTCAAACATTTTCAAAATGTGATTGTTTTAAGTGAATGAAAAATGAAAGTTCTGTGTTACTCTTGTGAAAAATGAGGTTCACTCACCTGGCAAAATTTAAAAGTTTAATAAAGGACAATAGGATTCAAAAATAAAGCAAAGTTTAATGACCGGGTGCTTGGCATTCCACCAAGAGCACACCTGCTATTTCGGAGATACCCTTTACATACCTTTTCTATTGCATCAGCCTACTGTATATTCATAAATAAATATGCATATTTAAACTTTTCCTCAAACTAGTTTACATGTTCCAAGAACTGTTTAGCATGGCTCCTCCTCAGGTCTGCCTTTTTACAGCGTGCGCATTTCTTGGCTGTGGTTTTAGTCCATTCTTATTACCACCTCCAGCTTGGGCTTTGGTCCATACTTTCTACAGATGGTAGGTACTGATAGTAGCAGGGGTCTTCATCATATGTTCATTGGATGTTTATCCCAGGCAAGCAAGCAGTTCAATTGCTACAAGCATAACTATATCAGCTATTTCACTACTATGTCTAAGTTTAGTTAACAGCAGAAATAGAAACTACATATTTATAGCAAACTTATTTTAGCATTATAAATATAGAATACATTTTGATATTTGTGAAAAGCCAATATTATAATAAGTATTTATAACACTCATATTTGAAAACTTACAGAATACTTTCTGTACTTGATAGTATATGTTAACTCTTTGCTTTCATCGTCTTTCTCTCCGGTGATCTGTTGTCTCATTTTCTGTTGCTGTTTAAGAGTAGAGAAAATTAATTAGGCAGAAAAATCAGAAAAAAAAATAGTGGCATATTTGGGAGCAAGCTGGGTGCAAAAAACTTTTAAAATGGCTTTGAAAATCTAAGCTACTTGAAACATTATTCAGACTACAAGTATCTTTCATAGTCCCGTTTCTGCCCTGCCATCTTAATTTTGTCATGTTCCTGCTGGGTTCATTTTGCATTACCACCCTACCTCACTGAAAAGGACTCTCACCATCTATTTGGGTGCCTGAGGGGAAAGCCCAGAACCTCAAGCACTCCCCCTCTGAGGGGGGTGTCATGGTTTGACACTGGCACAATGCCAGCGCCCCCATGAAAATGCAACCTCTCAACTGAATGCTGTGAAATGCGATTGAGAACAGAGCAGAGCAGCCCAAGCTTAATAACAAAAGGGAAAATAACTTCATTAAGCTACTACTATTATACTACTATAAAAGGAAAAAAAGAAAGAAAAACACACACAAAATCCAAAATGAAAACCTTCTAAAACATTCCTCCTCCCACCACCCAACTCCAACAAACTACAGTGAGACACGACTTGGACACTTAATCAAGTATTCACCCTTCAGTATAATCAATACTAATTCCATCAGGGGAGAAAGGAGTCTCCCTTGCACCATACACCCCCAGGAACCACAGCTGCCACCTCTTGTGTTTCCATGTCACACATGGCACCGCCCAGAGAGAATCTGCCAGTGCGACACTCCTCTCCATATCACAGTGCTCTCACCACTGTGCATGGACCAAGACTGCTTATAGGGCTCCTTTAAAGATGTTTTGCCAAGGACCAACAGGAACAAAAGTCCAGTGTCTCATTTTGGGACTACAGTCCCTCCCATTTTCCCCTGGGGCCAAGGGTCCAAGAACAAAGATCTTCTTCTCTGAAGACAGAGGGCATCATCACACCCTCCTCAGCTTTTCTCTGTTCATTCCTGAACTGGTAGTTGCTGAAGGAGGTCTCTTGGCTCACCATTGCATCCCCCTAAAATGCAGTCTCTCTTGGAGGAGAAATTGGTTCAGTCTATGGCTAACAAGAAAAGTCCAGCCAAAAGCCACCCCATCATCTCCCCCCAACCTTCTTTCGCTAACATCTCAGGTCCTGTGAGAACCCCGGGATTGATTCAGGGGTCTCATGTGCTGGTAAAGTCTCTCCTCCAACCGGTGCTTCCAAAGAAAATCTCCACAGCCTCTTGTTGTTCGGTCTCAAGGCAGTTTATTGCTAGTTATCTAAAAGATTGTCTTCACCCGCTGCGGCTGCTTTGGTCAGCGTCCCAGGCAGAGACACACACACTCCTGACACCCTCACTGTCTGGTGTCTTCGTCTTCTCTCTCCCCGCCCAGGGCTGCTGCTATCTTTTATATGATATATTACGTATTATATGCTTACAGATTTCCCCCAATCCCTACTATCTATGTTACAATGTGCTTTTCTACTCTAAACCAATCTGTGAGTGCCAACATCACCAAGAACATGGAGGCAAGGAAGAAGAAGGAGGAAGAACAGGATCAGGCCCACTTTCCTCCATCTTAGAACTTCTGACCCCCCTGTACAAAGTAAACCCCCCCTGTACAGGTGTTAAAAACCCCGTGTACAATACTAAAAAATTTTCCCCTCTAATTTGTAATTACTTCTACTATACCATCTAACCCTCTGTGACTGCTTGTTCCACCTTCAAAGTTGGTAACTCATTCCATGGCTCAAACTCAAAATCACAGCTGTTTTCAGCTTCTGACCAAGGCCTGGAACCCGTGAAAATGTCTGAGGGACATTTTGAGTTCCGACATCTCCCCTCTCTGTTTGAACCAGAAACACCCGCTTTGCCATGTTGTTCAAGGCCTTTCGAATACACACGAAAATGCATGGCAGAACAAGCAGAAGAACTACAAGCCCTATAAGAATATAAAATGCTATTTTCAAACGTTCTTTCCACAATGGTTAGAGATCAAAAAAGCCAAACAAATCATCCCACCAGGATCCTGTAACTTTGTTCAATTTGCTGATACTATTTTGTATTTGTTTTATATCTTCATGAATAGGTTTTGAATGATCGGACAAGTTCATGCAGCACATCCCCTCAAATTCTTCACATTCGTGCCCATGTGTCAGCAGCAAATAATCAATTGCCGCCCTGTTTTGAAGCACTGCTTGTCTTGCACTGCTGATAAATGTTAACATGTCACTCAATGCAGACGAAATGGCACGACTGTGTTTGCTCAACCAGCATGCTATATGATCCAATTGTGTCAAGGCCACCCCGATGCTGTTAGGGGTGAGAAAATTGCTACTGCAATTTTCTGAGCCTTGTTCCAGGTAGAAACATCATCATCACAATTTGGACTATATTGTTCAAGGGATCTTTTTTCCCTGTGTGTCTGCTTTTGTAAAGTTTTCAAATCAGGTGTTAGCAATGAGAGTTTCCCAATGCTGCATGGACCGCCCTTGATTTTTGCAGGGATAGCAGGCCAAATTCTGTCCCCGCAAATGAAAAACACTCCCTTTGGTTAAGTGGCTGGGTGTTGAAGGGATGGTTTGCTTGTCATTTTGGTGTAATTGCACCAGGATGACGCATTTGTATAAAAAAGCTGATTTGGAGTGACATCTATTGTATGATTATCTGTCTTTGCCACTCCTGATGAATTAAATTTGATGCACCATTTCATTTTTGTTGACCCAAAAATGTCCAACTCCGGTGGTTCCAAGTGAGCCACAGGAAGGTATTGTGTCCAAACATGCCATCCTTCCACAGGATCTGAAAAAGTTTTCAGAATCTTTGGAGGGATGTTTTTTGGGATTGGCCATTCCTTCACCGGCACACCTACCAAGCATGTTGAAAATGGTTTCCCCGGCTTTGAATGAGTCAGACAAATGCTGTCTAGACTCGCTGCCTTTGCCAAAGTCTCCCACACATTTTCCCTTGGTTGTTTCATGGGAAAGTCTGTCCCATTGCCCAAGGAAATAGGCAAGAGAATGAAGCACATGAACACTATCTGTCTGAATCCCATGTCCATGCCCCCACCCTCTGTGAGAGACCCTGCAATGCAGCAACACCCAAACAACACATGATTTCCCAGAAAAAAACAAAAAAACCCAAGTCTATGGGTGATCATTGTCCGACGTGACATCTGCAGCGTCATCATCTGCCTTCGTCTGCGTGCTTGCTTCTCTGCTTCTTGGGTCCACATCCACTGGCGTCTGCACCCGATAAGGTTTCATGTGCCTTGCTGGCATTCACTTCAGTCCTCGTCCTATAGAAACACAAGCGAAACCCTTGCCCCAAGTTATTAATGTAAATGGACCATCAATTTGTCCCGACTCTGGGTTTCTGATCAAAACAAAAGATTTTTCCCTTAGCTTTGCTTGTGTGCTGTTTGTAAAATGCCTAACAATTGGTGGAGTGGGCTCTGAGAAAGAACCATTTAAAAAATTCAATACATACAGAGCTTTGTTCAACCGCACGTGCGGTGCTGCGCCTGCTTCTCCCCTTTTCTGTTTATCCAAGAGGGATTTCAGGGTGTGATGTGTTCTTTCAATGATTGCTTGACCTGAGGCAGAATAAGGAATACCAAAAATGTGTTTGACTCCTCATTTTTTCAGAAATTTGTCAAGCACCTTGCCTGTGTAAGTTGGACCGTTATCTGTTTCTATTTCTTGTGGCACCCCGAGTGATAAAAATGCTTGTAAAAAATGTCTGCAGGCATGTTCTGCGGTCTCCCCTGTAAGTAATGATGCAAAAATCGCCCCTGAAAATGTGTCAACTGAAACATGGATATTTTTGAGCCTCCCAAAAAATGGGTATTTTGTGACATCAGCTTGTCACAGCTGAAGACTCTGCAATCCCCTTGGATTGACAGCTCCTGTAGATGCAGGAGGCTGCACAAGCTGACAATCTGGGCAAGCACTGATGATTTCCCTCGCCTGACTTTTAGAAAGGCGGAAGGACTCCATCAGCGCCTGTGCATTTTGATGGAAAAATGCATGGCTCAATTTTGCCTGCTCAAAAATATCTGGCAATGTCTGTGATATGGTCATTGTAAGTCTATCTGCGTGAGCATTCCCTTCTGCTAAGAACCCTGGGAGTGAGGAATGTGCCCTGATGTGTGCAACAAAATATTTGTGCTCTCTGTTTCTAGAATTGTCCTCATGCACAATAAGTATGAATATAAAATTTCATTGTCAGTATGTTTCAAAAGTGATCCTTCTAATCGTTTGACCACATTTGCAACATATGCTGAATCTGTGATCAGATTGAGAGGTTCCTGAAACAATTGAAAAACCCTGACCACTGCTGCCAATTCCACACTTTGTGGTGAACCCTGTACTATTTTAATATCTCATTCCCATTCCCCTGGTTTTGGATTTTGCCATGTGACCACTGATTTGTGAGTTTTTCCCTGAACCATCAGTGAACACTTTAATCCATTTCACTGGTTCGTGGCTTATTTTTGGTTTTTCCCTGAAACTCACTTTTGCATTTAA